CCCCCTGGGCGCCGGGCAGCCCCTCTTCATCCACCCGGGACAGTTCGCCATGGCCCCCGGCGCCTTCTCCGCCATGGGCATGGGACACTTGCTGGCCTCGGTGACCGGTGGGGGCAGCCTGGAGAACGGAGCCCTCTCGTCTGCCCCAGGCGCGGCGGGGGCGGCCCCCCCCTTCCCTTTCCACCTCTCCCAGCATATGCTGGCCTCTCAGGTAAGCCCCCACGCCCACCCCGCGTCCCCATCCCCGTTGTCCTGGCCCTGGGCCCTCCTCTCCGTGTCCTTCCCCAAAGCTCCCTGAATGAGCAGAGCACTTCGGGGGCACGGGTCAGGCCCAGCCAGCATCACCCCCAGTGTGGGGACATGCGGGGTGGCCCCAGTGCAGGTCAGGAGCTGTTGGTGCCCCCAGCCTCCCCCGTGCCCCCTGCAGCCGATGGGGACAAGGGGGTGCCACTCCCCTGGACCCCTGGTGTGCTGCTTGGTGGAGCAGGACGTGGGGGACATTCTGAAGGTTGGCCTCAGGGCTGATTTGAGGAGGAATCTTGATTTTTTTTGCAGCTGATACGGTTCCCCCATAGACGGGGGCAGAGTCAGGAGCCATGGCCCTGCCTGACCTGGCTGTCCCCATCCAGCAGCCCCCTGTTTCCCTGCCAGCCCCGAAACGGCTCCTGCAATGCCTGCGCGTGTGTTGCCTTTGCCAGCCCCGATGATGAAATGCATAAAGATGTCTTTGAATTCCCCTAATTTATCGATCGTACTTAACAATGTGTTTTAATGTGGTTAAAGGTCTGTGATGCTGCACAGACGGGGACACGCAGTGTGCGGGGAGGCGCAGGGGCAGGGACGGGGCAGGTCCCGGAGAGGGGTTTGTGCCTGGTGGCACCAGCCCAGGTTGGTGCGGGGCAGATGGAGCTCCCCAGCTGTACCCCCTCCCTCAGCCCGTCCCACAGGGATATCCCCGTGCTTTGTTTTTAGGATTACACCAGGGTGTCTGGCTTTGCCTCAGCTTTCTCAGGGGAACGCTGTCTTGGGGGCAGGCAGGAGGGAGAATGCAGCGGAGC